AATATGGTATGTTTGTATATGTCCCTTATAGTCCCTAAATAACCCTCGCATAAACACATACACCCCCCAGAGCTGTATTCTACTTGTTAAGGCCCTTATATCAGCCCGCTTTTGCTCAGCGACCTGGCTTCGATCATTGTGACTGCCTCGCTGAGAGCTTGTATCAGGGAGTAGTATAGGGGCCTTAATAGTTTTGGGGCCCATTATACTATACTTAAAATAAGGAACCCCCAAAATAGTATTGGCAATTATTTAGGCTTCTTTAGTCATTAGGGTTTAGGGTCAACGCGTACATAGGCACAAGGCCAGATACTTAAGCTACTCTCGGCCTGAAAATCCTGCAAAAGGCTTCGTCTTCCAAAGCTAAGAGCCATGGATCGTATCACCTTCAGGTGCATTGTTAGGGCCCTGCAGTGTGCGACGTTGAACACGAAGAGAGGGCAGCAATGCTCACGAGCCTAGGCCTACTCTGTACCCCGCAACTGCCGGAACCTGAGAGACTCAACAAGCCGCAACACACCACCATCTACCAACTAATATAGGGGCCTTAATGATTAGAATAGGGTTTTGGGGACCATTATACTACTATAAATATAATAAGGAACCCCCAAAATGATATAGGTACGTATTTAGGCCCCTATATTATTTCGGTAGCTGGAGACCTAGGGTACCATCGCATTGCAGGTCCTGCACCAGTCGCGATTCGACACCTGGGCTATGCGGCGCTGTGGCTTTGGATCAGAAAGAGAAGGCTTTAGCCCCTCGCCCCTGAATACTTATACGGCAGATGTGAATTTGGGGAGTTGAGGTGAAGGGTTGTCACCATGAGTTCGTTGAGGCAGCCGATCCTTCATCTTAGCAGATGTTCGCTTCCTCCACCTGAGGAGGCCCGAGATGCGAGGACTGGAACTAATTTAATCCTACCTAGGTATACTTCGGGCTTCCAGAGACAAACCCAAACTCCCCGAGCCGTCCCTCAAACCCCAACGAAATCCTCCGACTCAAACAAGCCATGATGGCCCACAACTTCCAAACCCAGCGACCATGGCCATGTAGTCATTTAGCCCTTGCTATTTGGATTGGCAAAACCACCCAAAATAATACTGCGAAGCCCCAAAACCCTAACCCAAAGCCCCCTGACTCGGAAACCCCGGAACCCTCAAACCTGCAATCCCTCAACACATAAATCCCCACAAGCCAGACATCTTATCTTCAAGCCTCTTAAGCCCTTTTTCTCATAAGCCTAAACTCTAATCTTCCAGCCTCATAAACCCGCAAACCCTAAACCCTAAGCCCCTAAACCCTAACCCTTAAAACCTAAACCCTAAAACCCTAAACCCTAAACCCTAAACTCTAAACCTTAAAAACCCTAATTAAGCTCTAAACTCTAAACCCCCAAGCCCTAATCCTGGGCTCGCTGGGCATCTGCAGGCCGGGTCGCGGTTCAACTTCGCCTCGGCAGCCGCACGCATCGCCACCTGCATTCCAGGACGACTGCCGGGATGGTAAAGTTGTTATTTGGGTTTAGGGGTTCAGGGTTTAGGGTTTATGGTTTAAAGGGTTCAGGGATAGGGATTTAGGGTTTCGGGTTGAAGGGCTTATTTTTCGGTTTTGCTCAGGGCTTAGAGTTTGTGGCTTGAGGTTCTTTCGGGTTCCGGGCATCATTCCTTATGGGTTTTGAGGTTTGGGGTCTCGGGGTTAGGCTTAGAGCTTCTAGGGCCTTAAGGCTTGCGGCAGAAATATATATATATATATATATGTGTGTGTGTGTGTGTGCTCCTGTGTCCGTGCGTGTGTGTGTGTGTGTGTGCATGTGTATATATATATATATATATGTATGTAAGTATGTATATGTACGTACGCACATATATGTATGTATGTACGTATATGTATGTATGTGTGTCCATTTAATTATATATGTAATACTGTGCGAGAAGGTGCGTGGGTGTATACATATATTTTTTATACACATACCGATACATATATTAATATGGTATGAACGTTGAAGATCAATGGGGCCTAAACTTATAAATTATCATCGAAGCAACCCGTTCCAGGAACTACGAGCCTCCAGCCACCCCCCCCCTCAACAATGAATAGGCGAAACAGAACTCCTCCCAGAAGGGCCTCGCTGGTAAGCTGCGCATGCAGCAGCTCGTATTCTCTCCTGATGGTTTGGGGCTTTCGATTGGATCCCAAGCCAGCGGTTTTCTCTCACCCTTGTGAAAGTCTCAGCCCGACCGTCTGGAGCAGATGATTCATGGATACTGCAGAAGTGCGGAGCTACAGATGTGCGCTTCCTCGATGAAGTTGCAACGAACCGTCAAGCATATCTCTGTAGCTACCTAAAACACCGAACAGTGCCGGCGAAAGCTTGCCTTGCAAGACTCCGGTATCTTCGACCCTGAAGCACCCTAAAACCCTACCTTACACTATCACTAAACCCATGGAATACCACACCGCACAACCGCTGAACCCCCGAGGTTCGGCCTTAAGGGCCTTATGGCTTGCAGGCCAGCGAAAAGCCATAAACCCCCCCCCCCCCCCAGAACCCCTCAACACCGAAATACTGAGCACTTCAACCGCTAAACCTCGAAACCCTGAATCCTAAATCCGATTCCATAGCTAGATCCCTAAACCCTCAACGGATTCAGCCGCGGGACTGCAAGGTGGCTTGGTCAGGCTGCGGCGCCTCTCCAATGAAGAGTCTTCGGATCTATACGGTTTCTTTTTGATGGGCCCTTGCAAGGTTCTGTTTTGAGGGCGCCTTTTTGCTTTTTTCTGGTCCGGGTTGAGTTCGGGGTTTGAAGCTTAAAGCTGTAGGGATGAGGAATCGAGGGCTTCAGGGCTTGGGTTTTACAAGTGCAAAACTGTGGGTTCAGGGACTGGGGCGTAAGGAACCCCCCGGATCTGGGGCGTAAATAGTAAAGCTAGGGTAAGGTTTAGGGTTTAGGGTTTAGTGCAGCTTCATCAGTACTTTGGGTTATACGGCTCACGAGTTCAAGCAAGTTAAATGCTGTTCTGGCGATTCTGTATTCAGACAGCTTCCTATCAGCTTCAACAGATTCCTCGCGTCACTCGATTCGAGCTGTTGTCCCCTGGGCTGGCGCCAAGCAGGCTTACAAGAATGGTTAAGAATGGTTGGGAACTCGGGATACCCGAAGTATCCCGAAGTCCTAGCATCTACTGAAATCCTCCTCGCAGTGGGGTGCGGGAACAGCGTTGGTGCAAATGTAGTTGCTCTAGAAGCAGAAGCTTCCGGCCGTAGCTTTTGTTGAAAGCACGGAGGCATGCCTTCGCCGGAAGAGAATCCAAGCGTTTGTAGCTGCGCTGAATGTCCTGCGCGATGGGCGGATGCTTTGCGGCTCTGAGCAGAAGGATTAACAACTGCAGGCAGGTATGAACTCAACAGGACCTGATACGACCGAAACCCGGAACCCCAAACCCTTCCTTCTTCACTGCCGTTAACACCCAAATAACCAGATAACTGCAGTTTGACTAAACCTAAGCGAGCCGGCGTCTTCCATCTATCGACAGGGCATGCCAGACCGACAACCCTTCGCTGCGCAAAAGCCTAAACTCTGAGCATTTTGGAGATTTGGGCTAAACTCGGAAGATGCCGGAAGTGAAAGAAACGGTTCTGTTCTTCAAGCAGACTACAGCCCGACGTTCTCCGAGCATACATAGACTCTATGGAAATATCTGTGTTCCCACAGTCCTCCGACATAAAGATTCTACCTCTTACTGTTCAGGGAGACATGTAGTCGTGTCTGAGCATTGCGGCATTCAGCATAGCACTTCACCGGTGCCACGAGAATCGGTACTACTTCCAACCTGATGGTGACACTGATCTACTTGATGCGCCAATCTCGGAAGACGGGTAACCCGAGCTTTGAACTGTAGACACCCGCTCAGACACGTGAGTTCTTGCACTCTTCTTTCCAAACCCAAAACTGCAAACACTCCTCTTCAATGTAGGAGATGCGCCGGGACATGTTATGCGAATGCCTCAGGGTGATGAGAAGGGGGAAAGGGAATTAGTCCAAGCATTCTGAAGGGTTCCATACATGACCACCTGGCCCGAAGAGAAATACCGGCACCAGCAAGTGTTTCGCAAAGCTACCTGAAAACGTGAAGTCCTGCTTGTTATAGAGTACCGAAAAGCCAAAGTCAAACATCAATCCACAACTGTTGCAGGTGGCAGCGTTGAGCTCAAACCGTTGAGGGCTCTTGAAGCCCCAAATCCCCGAAAGCCCAAACTCTGCAGCACGGCACATCTGAATCGGCTCGGATCGTCTCGGAGCCTGAGGTGCAAAGTCAGTAGTGCGGCAGTCGTTTTCCTTGTGCGAGGGTCGAAAGATTTTGAGATTACACACGAACCCCGATAAGAGAAAGCATTGAGAATCGAACTACCCCAAGGCGTGGCAGCTGCTGGGGAAAATTGTATCTGCCTAGATTTTCGGGTGTAGACCAAAAAACTAGATCGCCAAACAGTGAACGAACACCACCACGACCAGGACGAGCACCACAATCACGAGACCACGAGGCGACCACAAGTCACCACGAGACCACCAAGATACTGCTAGGAGACCACCAGTACACAAACCAGCAGGAGACCACGAGGAGAGGGACCAAACTGCTTCTGCCAAATACTGGTGGATTCAAGAGCACGGTCACAATGCTTCCCTCAAGTTCTGGTGGGTTCGTGAGCTTCCGAGGCCACCGGGTGGCCTATGTTTCGGAATTGACAACCTCCGGGAAACGGTTGCCAGCGATCCTGTGAAAAAAGGGACGTGGGCGCAAGGCATGCGCCGCACCACCCTGGAGAACGTCGTTGGCCACACTGTTAAGGGAAAAACAAGGCATCATTTCAAGCCGACAAGTGACAAGCACATATAGCTACAATACAAGCCATGCACGCTAGATTTAAGGGGTTGCGTTCTAGGGCCTGGAAAGGAGGACGCGGCTGGCGACAAATCCCCGAGCGCATGCATCTCATTTCACCATGCGACCGTTGCCAACAGTTTGCAGCCGGACCCCTCAAGCTTGTTAAGTATGACCTCCAGACTTGCATCTGGGCATTCTTGGCCTGAGGGTCCGCTGACGTGTACTGAATGACCGTCGAGATCGGTCTTGACACCAGCTGTGCACCGTCCGATACTGCCACCATACTGAAGTACATGCAGGCCACGGGGGGTGTACAGTCCAAGCCACAGCTCGTCGAAAGCTGCCGGCGTAGCTGGACTTTCTGAGCCAAACTTGATGCCATGGAAGTGACACTTCCATCTACTCGTGCGACGGACCCAAGACAACTTTGCAGACTTGAACTCGACCTTGATATCGTCACGAAGCCAGTCAGCGCTCGTCCTGTAGCTCCCACGACGCTGCAGAAGTACCTCCCCAACGACTTCAGCAGATCCAGCATCGCGCCTGAAGTTGCTGCACGGATGAAGCATCTGATCGACTGCAAAGGCTACCCTTTCTAGACGCAAGGCTCGTGCAGAGGGACTTAGCTCTGACAGTGGGACGCCCATGTACCAAGACAGGGCAAAGGAATCCCTTCCAAGCTCATCTGCCACCAGTTCTGACATGCAGTCGGAGGATAGTGTCGCCAGATGCTGGCACAAGTGCATTGGCTGTAACATCTTTGCTAGAATAGTCCTGCGTGCCACAGCTGGGTCCTCAAATCCTCTGCCCGCTCTGAACTGAACAGCATGGCCCGAAATTAGCGTTCTGCTTCCCATCTTGCTTACTCCTGCAGCGCCGTCATGCAATATGATGTCCACTTGCCCCGGAGAATGAAGGGCCAGAAGGAGATCGTCAAAACGCCCGTGGTTGAACTTGATTTTTACCCAGCTCACACGCCACAAGCGCTCTCTGACCAGCCACGCAATGCTAGCACCTTTGCATTCCACCCTGCGCGCATCCCAAACAAAATCAAATTCAGCTTGGTGATGTCCTCGCCGGCGCCCATCTGCTCGTGAACCAGGATCAGATTGAGACAGCTGGACGGACGGGTTCGCTTTAACCAAGGTTTTCCAAATAGCCTTCTGTAACACATGACCTTTTCGGAACCCATGTAGCTTGAACAATGGATCATCTGCATAGGCTGCTGCGGTCACAGATGCCTGAGTCGCAAAAGCATCTGGAAATTGTGCAGCGCGAAGTGTCAAGACTTGACGGCTACGGCCGGCATGTCGGATGCACGGAAAAGGCCCTCCGTAAAGCATGCGTAGTCACGGAGCCAACATCAACCGCCAGCTGTCTTCGCCTTAAAGGTCCATGGGCCATCGTGACAACGATTTTCCCAAAGCTGAAGGCAAGGCTACTCAGGAAACTGAACCTCCCGAAACTTGTTGTACACTGGTAACCCAACAATCAATGCTCGTCGTCCCGAGCTCGCGGATGCCTGGACTCGCCTTTAAAGCGGCCGACAGGGTCGTGAACCATATATACATAATATGCACGCGCTATGTATTTAGGAGGTCTAGCAGTCTAGCACTATAGCCGATACAATAACGGCCGGGGCTAACAGAAACCACAGGAATTTCGACAAAACATCAGGACATGAGGCTCGTATCTTGGTGTCGCTGAGCGAGTGGACAGGTTTTGTTGGTATCCACTTACTTCTAGGGTAAAGGTGCCTTCGATTATTGGACCATCACATCAGCCGCTCTACTCAACTCAAGATCCAATTGCTAGTCACATCAGCAGGGGCAGGACTTGCATTGGAACCTGCGAGCCTGTGTCATCCCAAGCCTCTCATTTTCACACACTCGGCGTGGAGAGTCCGGATGCCCGGAAAACAGGGTGGGATGCTGGAGTCGTAGTTCCCCAAGGCGTCACAACATCGAAAAGCCGACTCCGCAAAGCGCAGCTGAAATCAGAACCCCTAAACTGCCCAAAATGATGTGCGTCGAGCGGCCGGCGCCGACACGAAGGATGCCTCCTGGGGCCGCAATATGTACAGTTCAGAGGAGTGAGAACTGCGAGGTTTGGGATGAAGGGACTTGAGTTCAGCGCTTCTTTTGAAGGCCTTTGTGCGTTTGTTGAACCAAGCCATAGCCTTCTGGATGGCTTAGCGTTAGGGAAGTTTCGGGTTTATAAGCTTTTGTCTAAGGATTGATGGAGGGTAGTTAACTCAAACCTCGGGAAACCCTGAGAGCTATGTCGTGTTTCGGCCCTCTTCTCCAGAGAAAAAGTCGCCCAATCAAGCGCCGAAGAAGAAAGAAGCCAAGACTCGGCACTGAGACTGGGGGCATCCTACTGCTCGTGTTCTGTGGCAATCTTACCCGGTGAGTCCCGGACCCGAGACACTGCTCCCGAAGCTTTGCATGGTGAACCCAGCGACCCTTGAAGAGTCACGGACACACCCTGTAAGTTCCAGTACAGATGGCTGAAGTTCGAACAATCAGCAAAAGCACGGGATTTAACATATATTGGTGAGTATGTGAAGACCTGGCAGGGTTGCTGAAGGTCCTAGTCTTCAGGGTTCAGTCCGGTAGATATCTCAAACACCTCTTCACCCGCGCCAACCCTAAAGCCCCATCCCACGGCCTGCGGCGCCTTCGCCGGAGCTTTCCCATTGCTGTATGCCGGGGCTGTACGCCCGACACGCCTGAGTCTCCAGATCATAACTATCGCTTTTCTCGGGTTCTTCGTCTTTAACCAGATTCTACGAGGCCTTTTTCAGGGGTCTGAGAGAGGGCGACAGCTTTCGAAGTGCATAAATCAAGCAGTTATGGCTCAGCTCCGACGTCTTCCGTGCATGGCTTTTACCACACGTAGCCGCTAAGGCTTAGCCTCCGGTGAGGCCTCAGGTATTGGGTGTTCCTTTTTGCACCTACAAGGCCCTCGCAAGGGAATCCTTGGGAGGGCTCTGTGTCTGCCGTTCCGGGTAACAGCACATGCCAATGTCATGCCAGTAGGCATCGCTTCGATTGGACTCAAGCTGGCAACGATGTAAGTTTAATGGTTTAAGGGCTTAAGAGTTTAAGGATACAAGGCTTAAGCGATCTTACACCCGCAAAACCATGAGATCTTGGACGAAAGGATTGAGCCTGAACTACGATGCCCCGTGGCCAATGTGAAAACGAAGGCCTACCACAGGCCCATACTAAATAAGGTATAGACCTCTATCTATCTATCTATCCGTCCATCTATCTATATGCACAGAGTACTTTGTAAGATTAACACAAGGGCCGCCCAATCCCACGACAACACGACCGTCTCGCAAAGTTAAGTGGATCCGCAGTTGTCGCAACAAGCGGCGAATTGAATGTTTCAGACGAGGCGCTGCTGGTCATAGAAATGGATAGCGTTGGTGTTGCTGCCTCCCGTAGCATGGGCTCCCACTCGGTGGCCGTGCATTTTCACGTAAAACCTATTCTGCTATGCCTGGCCTTCTCAACGGAACTCCTCAAGTCCAGCACCGAAGCGGCACAGCAAGTGCCACCAGAGGTCGGAAAACCACTTCAATAAGTCAGAGCTTCCAAAGCTAACTTGCCAGAAGTTGCATTTAGGGTCGGGGGCTCAGTTGCAACTACATGAATCCTAAATCCTAAACCCCAAATCCTAAATCCCAAATCCTAAACCCTAAAGTCTCGGCAGCCTGGACCAGGAGGCCATTGAACCGAGCCGCCTGTTTGCAAGGCTGACCCCCGCGATTCTCGTAATATAGGGGCCTTATGTAAGGTTTAAGAAGAAACCCCCCAAAACAGTACAGGTAATTATTCAGGCCCCTACAGTAGACTGCTAAGATTTCGTAGGAAGGTGGGTTTGGGGCTTACGGTTTAGTAATTTGGGGCTTAGGGTTTAGTACTATGAGGCTTGGGGCTTAGTAGTAGGGGGCTTAGGGTTTGGTAAGATAGGGCTATAGGGGTCAGGCTTAGCGTTTCATTCGGGCTTGGACTCTAGAGGGTAGGCCAACACGGTAGAATCCCGCCAGGGTGGTGTTCAGTCGAAGTATCGCTAGTGCATGCCTGAATTTACGGACTTGGGTCTGCAGGCTTTGAAAGACTTCTACATCACATTGCCTTGGTATGCAGCGTGATCGTCGCCGTCACAGTAGTAGCTGTAGCAGTAGCAGTAGCAGAAGCGGTTACGGTAGCAGCCGACAAAGCAGACGCGCGAGAATCTTCCGGGGCCCAAACCTGAACCCCAAGGCCCCACGCCCTAACACGGCAATATAAACCCTGCACCCAGTGTGGAACCCGACTCGTGGACCAAAGCCCGAACCTTAAAGCCTAAAAGTGCCTGAGCCGTAACCCAATCTATCTCAAGCCCTAAATCCTCAACCCTGAACCCGAACCCTAAATCCAAAACCCAAACCTAAACCCTAAACCAGAAACCTCCAAACTAATCCGAGCCTTATGTCCTTAAGCCGACACCGCAAAGGACCGCCTTGCGGGCAAGTTTGAGCACTCCCTGGTCGCACCGCCGTCTGGGCCATGGCAACCTTGGCACCGAAGGGCTCTTCAAGACTTCCTTTAAGGGTTTAAGGCTTAGGGTTTAGGGTATAGGGGTAGTTTGAGGTTTATAGGGTTTGGGGATTAGGGTTTAGGGTATAGGGTTTAAGGTTTGTAGGGTTTAGGGATTAGGGTTTAGGGTATGGGGTTTAAGGTTTAAAGGGTTTAGGGATTAGGGTTTAGGGTATAGGGTTTAAGGTTTTTAGGGCTTAGGGCTCAGGGTTCAGGGTGTGGGGTTTCGGGTATAGGGTTTATAGGGTTTCTAGGGTTTAGGGTTTACTGGTTCTTGAAGGGACCCTGAACCCTAAAGCCTACACCCCTAAACCCATAAGGGATTCGTACAGGTTCTTCGGACGATCTTCATTTGGGGGGGCCTACGACGATGGAACGTTTTAGGTTCTTTTGGGGATCTAAGAGGGTTCTACAGATGTCGGGAAATAGGGATTGGTTGGAGGTTATAACTGGAATAGGAGACATGGTTCACTCCGCGCATTTAAGGTTTGGGGTAGTACCGAGTTATCAGGATTTTGGTTGCTTTTGAAGGATGACTTCTGTTCAGTCCGACCGTTGCGACGGTGGACATTGGAAATTGCTGCGATGCCAGTCACTTCGTTTTTCTTGTTGCCGTTGATGTTAACATTGCTACATGGATGATGATGGGTTTGATGTTGATGTTGCCGGTGTTATTGCTGTTGCTGACGACGACGACGACGATGATCGCAATGATGATGATGGGGCGGTGGTGGTGGTGGTGATGGTGGTGGTGGTGGTGGTGGTGGTGGTGGTGGTGGCGGTGGTGGTGGTGATGATTTGTTGTCCTGCCGACAATGCTGCGCAGTTGAGCGGAGCTCAGAGCTTGGGAAGACCAGCCGTCAGCAGTTTAGGATTTATTTACGTACTTAGGGTTTAGGGTTTTTGGGGGTTTGGAGTTTAGGGTTTATTGGGTTTAGGGTTTGTTGGGGTTTGGGGAAGTCTGAAAAGCTAAGATGTCTTTGATTACGTCTTGGGTTAGGGAGGCTTGCATGAAACGATGCTGTTTAAGATGTTGGCCACGGCCGCGATCGTAGAACCCTGTCAGAAACCATGACCGTTTAATGCTACGACTCTAAACTGTAAACCCTACCTGTAGCCGAAAAACCTACCCTGTGAGGATTCCTTAGTATGGTTTCTACATATAAAGCCTTGCAGAAGTAGGTTTTTGGAGCCACAATCCCTGAACTTTAAAGATCAAAGCCTTTTAGAAACCTAGACCTTAGCCTTTTCATCTTGATCCTTAGTCCCAAACCCTCGTCGAACCCCTGAAGGAAGCCTTAAACGAACCCTTGAAGGACTTTGGTCTCTTGAGCTGGTAAACCCCCCCCCCCAAAAAAAAAAATACGAGTACCTACCATATAGGGTACTAGAGGCCCTAGGGCCCTTCTAGAGTAGGTACCTTTGGAGGGATAGGTAAAAGCTACGACACCCCGAAAAATTTTGGGTGGTTGTCAAAATTATGGTCCCTTGTTGGGTCCGTAATATAACACGGCACCTAATATTTAGGGTACCCAAAAAGGGACCCTAATTTTGACAACCACCCAATTACCTACACTATTTTGGGGGTTCCTTATTATGATTATAGTATAATATACCCAATAAATCCTGTTCTAAATTTTTATGGC